ACGAATTCAGATATGGGATGAAATCGGATTGGGATGAACGGGTTTAAGAGTTTTTAAGAGTTTAAGAGTTTTAGCCAAATGCTTTATAATATAGTATATATATATATATATATATATATATATATATATATATATATAGATTACAAAAATAAAAGCTTATATTTGAAAAATTTAAACCATTATGACTATTGTACTTAACTTTAAAATTGAAAAAAAAATCATTATGTTTACGAGTGTTAGAACATTTTAAAGATAATTCATAAACTTGTATAAACAAAATAATTAGCTTATATTAAAGAATACTTGACCTAACGGTATCGTAGTCTTTAACCCTTCAAGGAGGTTAGAAGTTCAAATCTCACCAAAGTTGAGGAAAGTGTATGAGTTTATTTGTTGCTTGTATCGTGTATATATATTATATATACTTAAAAAAATAATTTATTTATTTTTTGGAAGTTGGACTATTGGATTGCCGGTAATCAATTTTAACACAAATTAAATAACAAAATCTAATATTAAATCCTAACATAAAATAAAATAAAAATATGATCACAAAAATAAAAAAATATCGACCATGGTAAAAAATACAAAATACATAATTTAATAAACATATTTATTCTTCAAAATTATTCACTTCAATTAATGATTATTGATGATAAATAAATAAAAATGTTTATGTATTTAAATAATTAAAACGGAAATGTAGCCTTTTTTTTTTCCTTTCCCTTAAATGGAGGGATGAAACAGAAAAGCAGAATTTTGCAAATAGGGAAAATATTTTGGCGCATTTTAAGATAATCACGTTACGATGCTCTAAAATGCGCAGATATCCATTTTCGGGTTAACATAAAAGGGGGAGCCAATATACACACACGCATTTCTTTCTCTTTCTCTCTCTCGCGGGGGCTTTTGGAGGTCAAAAGACTTCGCATCCCATTGAAGTTACAGGTTCTACTGCTTATAAGTGTATTCAATTCGTTCTTATACTTGTTTCAATAGCATAATTTGCCCTAAAATTGTAGTTTCAGTCGCAACAGGCCCATAAGCAAAATAATTCTAGGGTTTTAGTCGATTGTAACAAGAAATCACTTGTGCTCTTTTAGTATTTGTGAGTTGTTTTTTGTGGTGTCGCTGAATGATTCTGTTATGCTTGTGATTGTTATTGATAGTAATGAGGGACGTGGATATACCCAATTGGCTCAAGGAATTGCCATTGGCACCCGTATTTTACCCTACCGATACAGAATTTGCAGACCCAATTGCTTATATCTCCAAGATTGAGAAAGAAGCTAGTGCATTCGGTATATGTAAAGTTGTTCCTCCATTGCCAAAACCTTCGAAAAAGTATGTTATTGGCAACCTAAATAGGTCCCTCTTGAAGTGCCCGGAGTTGGGGAATGATGTAAAAGTAAATAGTGTAGAAAAGGTAAATGATGGGGAGGTTCGGGCTGTGTTTACAACTAGGCATCAAGAATTGGGTCATAGTAGTGGGAAAAGAACAAAAGAGGTTGGGGTGGGGACCAGTCAGCCGCCTCCTCCTGTCGTGAATAAGCAAGTATGGCAAAGTGGGGAAATTTACACGCTGGAGCAGTTTGAATCCAAGTCCAAGAATTTTGCTCGGAGTCAGTTGGGTATGATTAAAGAAGTTTCTCCACTGGCTGTAGAGACACTTTTTTGGAAGGCAGCATGTGAGAAACCTATATATATTGAATATGCTAATGATGTGCCAGGATCGGGTTTTGGTGAACCAGTAGGATCGTCTCGATTTGTGCATAGGCATGGGAGGAGGAGGAGAAGAACATTTAGTAGAAACAATGAAGATTGTTCTGCTATAAGGGAACAACTAAATGATAAAAGCAACAGTTGTGACGACCAGAAAGGTGAATCTATAAGGTGTAGCCCTAGTTCTTCAGTAGATACGTTAAAGAAAGATACCAGTTCACTGAATATGTTGTCAGATCGTGTTCCCAGGCAAAGGGGTTCAGATGCTGGTCATGAGATTGAAGGCACTTCTGGATGGAAGCTTTCCAATTGTCCCTGGAATTTACAAGTAATTGCACGATCGCCTGGATCTCTTACGCGCTTCATGCCAGATGATATTCCAGGTGTTACTTCTCCCATGGTATACATTGGCATGCTGTTCAGCTGGTTTGCATGGCATGTTGAAGATCATGAACTGCACAGCTTAAATTTTCTCCACATTGGTTCTCCCAAGACCTGGTATGCAGTCCCTGGGGATTATGCACTCACATTCGAGGAAGTAATACGTTCAAAGGCTTATGGTGGAGGTATAGATCGGTTAGGTATGGAAAATGCTTACTCTTGAGTCTTGAGTACATTATTGCTATGCACTTAAAAAAGCATGTTATGGTACTATTCCACATCTTCACATACTTTTTGACATGTCTTACCAAGTATTTTTGCTTACTGGCTCATGTTTTTAGGATCACGTAGCCTTCTCAACTAGTTTTCCTGTGTTGACTTTATCATTTTTAGAATCTAGAGGGTTCCAATCACACTTTTCAACCATTTGAATGATGTGATGCTAGTCATTTGTCCTTTTTGGTACATCGGGGTAGGCTGAATAAACCAAACCAAACGGACCCAGTAAACTCCATCTAGAGGTGGGAGGGGAGATGTATGCAAACTTACTTCTATCCCAAGGGTAGAGAGGCTGTTTCCGTGAAGATCCCGACATGCAAACAAATAAATAAAAGAACAAGTGAGCAAGCAAGCTACAGGCGGGAGTGTGTGCAAACTAGAAAACAGAAAACGTTTTAAGGCAAAACTAAGGGAAATAAGCTACACAAACAAGGTACCAAGAAAAACAAAGCCAATACATATAACTACAATTACAAAAACAAAATCTAAGACTGGTGCACAACAAACGGGCCACACAAGTAGAAACAATATCATATATGTAAGTTGGGAAAAACAAAGACAACTCTCTATGGGTCGTAAGGCCTGATAACAAATGGGCCACACAGGTAGAAACAATATCATATATGTTTTAAGGCAAAACTCCCCTCTCCCTGTTCTGTGTTACCGAGAGCTCCTATCAGATGTTATGTTTTCAGAAATGTCTAAAGACAGCATCATCTTAATTATCTACTCCATATATTGTAAGTTGTAACTATGGTAACCAGCCCTACGTACAACCTATGCCATTCAGGTTGTCTAAAGTGATTGTGGATTCTATGATTTTATCTAGATGGCTAGATGTAATCAATAAGAGGAGTGATTAGAGTCGTTAATCCTATGATGAACAAAGTTCCTTGAGGTTATCAACTCCACGTCTCATGGAAGTAAGATTTGCATTGCTTTTTCATAACATGTACTCCCTCTGTCAAAACATTGCAATGTGACTTGGCACATAGTTAAGTAAAACTCTTAGACTAATAACCAAATACCTGAAAGACCTCTTAATAAAACATCTTTTTGCTTGCTTGCACACGCCTTTGCGTCGTGCACAAGCCGGGGGTCTTCATGGAAACAACCTCCCGTTTCTAGTGGTTGCTTAATTGGGGTGCAACTGGACCCATTTAATTGATAAATTTGACCCCCTTTGATAATATTGAAAATGGGCCGGCATATGTATCTTTCAACTTGCCTACAGAATTGTGTTGCTTGCTCACTGAAGTGAGACACTGGTGAAAATCGGGCCTAACTTCTAGAACAAAGCAGTTTTTATAATGACTATTTATCTTGTTAACCAGGTTGCTTAATGCCAAGAACTTTTTTGCAACATGGAATCCCTAGGGCTTCTGGCTTCGCAGTACTCCTCTAGCAATTCATAATCCTTTTGCCATTTTTGTTTAGCAGCTGCACTAACACTCCTGGGAGAAAAGACTACTCTTCTATCACCTGAAATTGTTGTGGCATCTGGCATTCCATGTTGCAGGTGTGTTATTTCTTTGTTGAAATTGATGCTTTTATCTCTTGCACTTCACATTGTGCTTATAAATGGATTGTCAACCTCCTATGGATAAAAACAGTGATTGTGCAAGACATATTTTGGTAAGCTGTCGAGATTTGCAACATTCTACTGAAAATTTCTCCGGTTTCATGTTTACAGGTTGGTACAGAACCCTGGTGAATTTGTAGTGACTTTTCCGAGGGCTTACCACATAGGATTTAGCCATGGTAATTGTTTTGCAGAATATGTTTCTATATCAAATTTCATTTAATAATGTATGTACGTGTATACCACCAGTCGCAATATCTGAATCTGATACATCATATGTTTGAAGTCATTTCTTGACATTGAGCGTCTCCCATTTGAAGTCTGAGTAAGTCTACCCCAGTCGAGTAATCTCTGCTTGCTGTAACTTCTCAAGCTGGGTAATGGCAACATTGTGTTCCTTGTAAGACCGAGTGGTTTAGAACAGAGGCGGACCCAGCGATCTTTTCAAAGTGGTGGCACCATTTGCCCACGAGTGAAATCTATAGAAGTTTTCACAAAATCATGGTAGATTAGTTGGTTAGTTGCTAAATTCGCCAAAACTGGGATTTGAACACGCACCCTTTCAAAGGAACAAACCCTAATCCAGTGATTTAGACCATCTCAACCATGAGAAACTTCTGTTATAACTTATAAGCTTATTTTAAGAAATATAAGGGCAAGGAATAAACCATTAGGGTAGCACTCTTCAGAAACACAATCTTTTTCCACTACACTGAACCATGGAGTGGTGGCACGGGACACCGAATGCCCCACCCTAGGTCCGCCCTTGGTTAAAAGATATAGAAGTGATTTAATGCTGTTGAGTACAGTTTGATGAGTGGGCTGCATTAACATGCATAACTGATTGAAGAATGGATTACTTTTACCCATATTACATTAACAATATTACTTTATATCCAAATGTTATTTATGGTTCACGCCTTGTATCTAGTTACATCTAGTTAGGCTAGTAGCAATAATTAGGAGTGCAAAAATTGCATGAATACTTTTCTCAATTTTGTCATTTGTTATTATCTCAATGTTGATTTAATATGGCAATGCTCAGAAACTGTTATTGGAGCCATTAGTCTTCTTGAAGATGTATGTAAGTTCTAAACATTAAGTTATGGAAACACTTCGACTCTTGTGTGAATTGTCTGTTCCTCGTCGATAAAACCTGTTGAATGTAGTGATTGGTATAAATGTTGACCCTGCTTCTAAAACCACTACCTATTTGTGGTGGATGGAAGTTTTCTTCTTTCTTGTCCATGAGAACGGAAAGAATCTAGCATCTGTTGGTTTCTTTTGTGCCTGATTTTGCTTATGGATCCTAATGTCATGTCATTGTCTTTATAAGGTTTTAATTGTGGGGAAGCTGCTAATTTTGGGACTCCAAAGTGGCTTGCCGTAGCTAAGGAAGCTGCAGTGCGCAGAGCTGCCATGAATTTTCTTCCTATGCTTTCACATCAACAGCTGCTTTATCTACTAACGATGTCATTTATTCCGAGGTCAGCTACAACTATTTCTTGGGACTGCTTCTGAAATCAATAATATAAGAACAAAAATTGCCTTAGAGTTTGTTTCTACGTTGACCACCATACCAGTGGCTTCATCGATTTTATTGCCATGGATACATTTTTCAGATATAACAGCGTGCACTTACTGACAATAAATATGTGCATTTGAATTAAGAATTTTCTATCACCTAAACTGGTTAAAAATCAAGACCACCTAGATCGCCTACTATATTAGGTAGACTTTTTTTGCTGAATGGGTTAAAGATCAAGACCACTGGAAATGATAAACCCACATGCTTGCAGATTTCCAGTGCATTAGACTGGGCTTGATATTTTAAGTTTTTTTTTTCTTTCTCCCTCTCCATTTCTTGGGTAGTTGTGTATATATGATGAAGCTTAGTTTTTTTGGTTAGAAATAATATATATCTTTTTATGGCTGGTGACTGCTCAAGTACATCATATGTTCCATTAAAAATTGCTCGGAGAAATGAATGGAGCCACATATTTATAGGGGTACCGTCTTGGCAGGCATATTAGGTAGTTTTATTGTTCAGTGTTGTTGCATATTTTCATAAGGTTAGCAAGTTAGTTTCTTTTAGCTCTTTATAATTTGGGGAGAAATGCATAAACAGTAAAATAAGGACTTGCCATGCGGTTTCTAATATATTAAGTGGGTATCTACACAAATAAATGTTATGCTGAATGATTCAAGATGATTAAATGCATTCACTAAATTCAGTGTGCGTCTACGTGCTTCTTACTGTCTGGAGAAGTTAAAAGTTAACGTTCAGGTGACATCTTTGGTATTAATTGGTGTTATTTTGTGTGTCAAGTAATTCTAGCCATCTTAGGATACATTTTAGAATAGTAGTTGTGAGATATAAGTACCTTTTGTAATTTTAAGGCCTAGTAGAGAAAAAAATTACCTTGGATATATAGGAGGTGTCTGCTCTTTATTTCTTGCATGGCGAATCTTCCATGAACACCGACTTTTCTTAAATGATACTGTCCTGAGAAAGAGAAATAATGTTTTATTTGAATTATATATAATATATATGGCAAATACTCATGCACCCTCCTCACGCTTGGGGAGGTTTGAACACTTCATCTCATGGAGGCTGGGCTCTACTGGTAACCCTGATACCTCTAGGCCAATGTGACAAAAAAAGCAAATGTGTTGATTCATCTACATTATTGTTAGTTTTCGTTTGTCACCCGTAAAACCTCCCTTCACTTTCTTTGATCACCTTTCTTTGATGAAGCATGGAAGAAGTCTGATTTTCTTTCACAGTTATTGGCGATTACAAAGTTTGGAACAATTCTTAATTTTCCTGAATCTGTCCCAAAAGAAAGGAGAGAGGTAGCATAAGCAGAAATTTTGGATAAGATCCCTTAAATTTCGGTTTTTTCTTGGTGTTACTGCTCCAGAAAGAAATGTCGTGTTTAAGAATCTGAAGCTCTATATATTTGACTAACCAGAGGCTGTAAAGGGAGCCGGAAGGGAACATGAAAACTCTTGTTCGCCATTTCCATCCATAGCTTGTTATTCGTGTCTGCATATGGGTCGTATTCAATTTACATGTTTGTTATTTGTGCTTTAATTCTATTGCTTGACATTTGTTTCTATGCTGCTAAAGAAAATTGACAGTGTGTATTTTTATTACTTGGTTAACATTCTTTTAATGTTCCAATGCCAGAGTGCCTAGATCTTTGTTGCCAGGTGTACGAAGCTCTCGCCTAAAAGACCGTCAAAAAGAAGAGCGTGAGCTGTTGGTGAAGAAGGAATTCATTGATGATATACTCAAGGAAAACAGACTATTAACTTGTATTCTTCGGAAAAGTTCCTCTTACCGTGCAGTCGTATGGGATCCAGAGTCCCTGTCCCCATCTGTTATTAAAGAATCTGACTTGACCAATATTGGAATGGATCGCACCATCAATCCGCCAACTGAAAATGTAAATGCTGAAAATGGAAACAATTTGGATATGTTTAGCCAAATGAGGCAGGACACAGAAACACTTCTCCATATAGAGGATGAGGACATGTCAAGTGATTTTCAAATTGATTCTGGAACGTTACCATGTGTGGTTTGTGGTGTTCTTGGTTATCCTTTCATGTCTGTCATACAACCGTCAGCAAAGGTGGTGGTTGATGATATGCCTGTGAAGGATCATGGTGTTCTTCAGGACCTTGGGGTTGAAAACTCTGTTTCAGGCATGTTTCTGGAGATAATCGTGACTAACATTCATTTATGCTTTGATTTTCTCACAATAATGTATAATTTATCCAGAAACTGGTAACAGTGAGCCCTTGTCTTTTTCTCCTTGCAATACAGGTGGGCTGTGCGACAATCGTAAAAGTAGCAAGGATACAATATGCTTCCATCATCCAAGTATAGCATCTTCAGAACTGGTTAATGTGCAGGATCGGTGTCTTAAAGATTCAACATATTCATCTAAAGTGAACATTGAGGGATGGAACACGTCTAGTGGGTATTTAAGACCTCGGATATTCTGTTTAGAGCATGCAAGTAAAATCGAAGAGCTGTTGGACTCTATAGGTGGAGCGAAACTGCTTATAATATGCCATTCAGGTGATCATTCAACTTATAATACATGTCTCATGATACTTAAGCTCTGTAGTTTCTACCCGTCACCTGTTAAGATCTTTCTAGGGTATGGAAGAAAACCTCTGAACTGAACAGAACTGAACAGAACAGATAAATAGGTTATCCGTGCAATGGGGTTTGGTAAAAAAAACAGTTAACTGAACGAATCACTTAATAAGTATATGTTTTCATAAAAACATAGAAAAGACATTTGATATTAACAAGTAAATAAAAAAAATTATTCTCATCTCAGAAATCGGAATTCCTAATGAACTAAATCTAAACATCCTGACATTTCTCCGTGGCTCGAGTCCGATACGTGTTGAAATCTTGAAGCTCTCACTATTTTTTCTGTTCTCTTTTCTTTTGGTTGGTTCAAACATAATATTAGTACTTTTGCTAAGTGAGATGATTGATGAAGAATCAATAGAATTGCAGTCTTTTTGTTTTGCTTACTGAGGTCAACCTTGAACCTAACTGAACGTCAACTGCAAATTAGCTTAAAATGAGGTTATATTTAGGTTCAACTTTTGGCTTATGCTAATTTTGAGATTAAATGAACAGCAAACCTGCCTTTTTGCCTTAATCTCGGAGCATTTATGGCAACCAACTGTTAAATTTTCTTTAATGATTCGACTCATTTGCCTGGGTTGCAACTTTTTGTCTTGTAGATTTCCGCAAAATTAAGGCACAAGCTTCAGTCATTGCGGAACAGATTGGTGGCACATTCAGATATAATGAGGTTCAATTAGACGATGCGACCCAGGATGATTTGCATCTGATAAATCTTGCAATTGACAATGACCAAGAAGATGAATCTGTAGAAGACTGGACACTGAAATTGAACGTAAATCTTCGACAATCTGTTAAGCTCAGGCCTAAATTATCACCCGACAAGATACATCATGCTTTGACTATGAATGCACTATTTGCTGACACAACCCCCACCTCAAGTGTGGTCTCATGTGCGATGCTTCTTCAGTGGCAGGCTACAAAATCTCGCTCAAATAGAAAGTTGAACTGTTCACTCAAGAAATCTTCAAAGGGCATTTCTGTAGGAAAAGATGCAGAGTTGAAAGAGAAGTCATCTGAACCCCAAATGCCTAAAAAAGAAGGGAGACTAATTCAGTATTCAAGAAGAAGCTTCAAGTCAAAGCGGCAAGATTCTGCAACCAATCTCAGCAAAAACACAAATGAGGACCCTTTTTTGGTGTTGGGTGATTTATCAACTCCTGAGAAACCTGATAAACAGCATGAAAAGCAGGTTGTTCTGGAGGATTCCATTCTATCACAAGCTGTAATGGAAGTTTCTGCTACTCCAGTTGTTGAAGATGCCAAGACATATACTTCCATGGAGATGGAGGGAGGTTATGAAGAACAGCACGATAAATGCTCCCGTGAAAATTCCCCAGGCTCAGTGTCATGTGCTACAACTATTGAAAATACTGGAATCGAAAAAAATGATAGAAGTGCCGAGGAAACTGGAATGCAAAATGAAACTAGTTTTGTGGTAACGAAAAGTGATTCTGGAGACCGGTCCAGTAGTGAAGATGGTTTGATGCAAGAAGGCTCTGAATTGGCCAAGCCTGATGAGTCCTCTGCTGATGAACCTGTTACGACTTCAAAAGTTAGGGTAAAGAAAGGTCCGATCACTGATAGAAATGAGGAAAATAGCCCTTTTTCAAGTTGTCATACTTCAACAAGTGGAAGTAAAAGGAAGAGAGAAGTGGAGTTGTTGCAAAGAGAGGAACAATCTGATTTTGATGGATTTATAAGAAGCCCATGTGAAAGATTGAGACCGAGAGGTGGAAAAGATGCGCATAAAGGTGGTTTTTCAATCACACCAAAAACAATCACAGAAAAACCTACAAATAAAGCAAAGGCTTCTAATGTCGCAGAAAAACCTGCAAAGAAAGCAAAGGCTTCCAGTGTTACAGAAAAACCCGCAAAGAAATCGAAGGCTTCGGATGTCAAAATCCCTGAAAAAGACAAACAGGGATCCCACAGGTGTGACCATGAAGGATGCAAATTGAGTTTCCAGACTAAAACAGAGCTAAGCATGCATCGAAAGAACAGGTGCCCTCATGAAGGGTGTGGAAAGAAGTTCAGTTCACACAGATATGCAGTGCTCCATTTGCGTGTCCACGAGGATAACAGGCCGCTCAAATGCACTTGGAAAGGGTGCAAGATGACGTTCAAGTGGGCATGGGCACGGACTGAGCATTTAAGAGTCCACACTGGAGAGAGACCATACAAATGCACTGTTGAAGGGTGTGAGCGCACCTTCAGGTTTGTTTCTGACTATAGCCGACACAGAAGGAAAACTGGGCATAATGTACATGTAAAAGCCTGAATTGTTTGTTTTAATCAGGGTAGTTTCGTATACTGAAGAAATTTTTTCAGAATTTGCAAAACGTGGAGCGGGGTTATTGGAAAACCAAAAAGCAGGAGCCAGAAATCATGTAACTTTGTTTTTTGGGTTAAGTTTATTTCTAAGGCTAGGGTTAGACTGGTAAATCGTGTAGCTAAGCTAGGGATTAATGAGTTTTTGGTTGATGCATGAAGCAAGGGTTTACATTCTTTTGTTGAATTGCTTTTTTCTGGGTACAGTTTTATATGTTGATTTGATTGTAGTCAGTTTGTTGTTAATGGTAATGGTAGTCTTCACACTTTCATACTGCTATTGCTACTGCACAAACCAGTGTGGGTTGGTGGTGAGTTTTCATGCATTAGACATTTGTAAGTTGTGCATTAATGGCAGTACGATGGAAGTTATGTGATGAGAGACTGGCTAAAACTGAAGTATAACCACCTTTTGGGATGGATTGATGGATATGTTTTTGATCGACTTTTTTTAAGTAGTAAATGTCTAAAATGCCATTGTGGTTTTCTGATTTTGATTACAAAAATTGTATTTATGCAAGTTACATGTAAAACATATGTGGACTCGGCTAGGATTGGTTATAAGTGGTTTCAAAACTGGTTGATTACCAATTTGCCCATCTCTATATGTATATATCTGCAAATTATTTGATATTTTGTAAGAGGCCGTTTATCAAACACTTGCCTGGTAAGTGTTTGTCGGTAAAATTTAACAATATTATCTACTTACCGGGTAAGCTTTTAGTCCATCAAAACGACATCGTATGCAACAATTACCCGGTAAGCGCTTACCGGGTAAGACTCTTAGTCATTGTCTCGTTTTTTTTTTTTTTTTTAGGGTGTCTGGGCCAAAGCCCGACTAATCCCCGGCAAATTTGGAGGCTAAACATGGCCTCACTTAAATGTCGCCAACACTCCCCTCCCAGGGCTCGAACTCGGGTTCATGACTATGTCATGCCCAAGCCTTTACCACTAGGCTGGAAGGTCTTCCCTAGGCTCGAACTCGGGTTCATTGTCTCGTTCTTACCGGGTAAGATTCTTGGTTCTTAATATATTCATCCGGTGAGGAAATGTTACTTGGTAAGCGCTTACCCGGGTAAGCGTTTGGTAAACGGCCCCTAAGTCATTGTTCAACCATTTTCTTGGACATCATAGAACACATGATATGTAGAGAGGATATAAAGGTAGGATGAACACAACTGAAAATATACATGGTATATCTCACTCGAAAAGAGGATGTAAAGGTAGGATGAACGTTTGCAAACAATCAAAAGTGAAGAATGATATGTTCGAAACTATCCCTGAAGGCTTTCAGCCTACACGAGACTTGTTTCTCATTAGCAATATATTATGCTCGATAACAAACACATTATTCAGTCTCTACAACAAGATTTCTTTCCCATTTAAACACATCTAAATTTTCCACATCTAGAATTGAGATGAAGTGTGAAAGCGACGACTTCTTGCCAAGAACATTGGAAACCACCAGTAAGATACTTTGGCATGCTTGAAGCTCATCTACAGAAGAACTCTTGGTTGAAGGATTCTTCCATGGCTGCTCAAATGACCTTGTATATCACAAAAAGAAAAAAAAAACAAAGGCAAACAACTTTAGGAAAAATTATTCCATAAGAAACAGAGTATGGGCTAGTTTGTTTGGTCTTCTATTTTTGGTAACCTGAGGTCAGGGTCAGCTTCCACGCACCTCGACTATTCCCACATGGCCAAGATAATAACCAGGAAAATTCCAAATGGTCCTGAGGAGTGAGGAGACTAGAGCTAACGACCTATGGAGAGGAGCCCCAAACCCTAGCCTTTGTTTGGTCTAGATGAGCCACTAAATGGTTCTACGACTTGTTAGTTCTGATTAAGAACACTGTTTCTTATCTGGATGCTTCTTAATGATTCATACATATATCTATGTCTCAACCATCAAGTGTAAGTTTGATTCATAGTAAAATACCATTAAACAAAAGGTCACACTATGCATCAACCAAAAAAAAAGGAATTGCTTGATACATGAGACAAACGGAGACTGATCCACCTAAAACACATGTTTTAGGCGATTGTTTATCAGATTTAGATTTACAGAGAGAGAGAGAGAGAGATTACCATCTCCATGAAGGATTAGCTTCAGCAGGGCAGGGTATTGAGGATAGCAACGACGTCAAAGTACTTCCTCCATCAGGCAGTGCATCTGATCCTGAGACGAAAACAAGGTTGAAAACCATTTCAGCGGAGCAGCGTATGTTAAAATTGTTTGATCCAAAAAAACAGGGGAAAGAGAGATGAGTGTTATCTTATAAGTCAAACGATCTCTTCAACAGTTCACCAGCAGTGATGACAAAAAAAGAAAACGATCAACAAGAACACATGTTTTCTTGTAAGTCGAACGATCTCTTCAACAGTTCTTAGAATAATTACATTGATGATGCAACAGCCAGATGCCTAAAATTAACTTATGTTCATGCTAAAATGTGGCCATTGGTGAGATATCTAAAAATGGTCAGTGGATCCCATTTGGATTAATTTCTGCCATCCAGCAATACATAAAGGGAATGCATAAACTTTCATAGCAAACTGACTCTAATCTGGCACGATAAATGCCAAAAATAAATAGAAAAAGAAAATGACAATAACTGCCATAAATATAGCATACCTGTGTGGGAGGAATCAGGAAAAAGTAACAAACAAAGTGAACTAACAACAGATGGAAGCACTTCGCATTTCCTCCCAAGAATCTGTTGAAGGTAATATATAATAGCAGCTAGTAGTTCTTCAGAGCCAGATCCCGCCTGACTTGATACATGCACTGGCCATTCTGCCTCAAGAAAAGATTGCAATGTTTCTGGAAGTGAGTTATCAAGATTATATTTGGATTCCACATCTCTCGATTGCCATGAAAGCCTTCCTAGAATTACAGAAGCAGTCAACCAGCGTAAAAGCTTCGATAGCAATGAATCATTGGTTTGTTCCTTCACCAGACTAGATTGAATATTGTAATCAGATCCTTCAGATGGAAGATGAGTTGATGAGTTTGCCTGAAGAGCAATTGAGACTGCCCAAAGGATGAACTTCTGAAGCTTTTCCAGGTCCTGGAAAGACATAAATAAACTCAGCATACTTCTACAAGATAAATATGATTACTCTGGCAATACATGTTTACAGTAAAACAAAGTATTGTATTTATAAGAAACTAATCATTCTTGCAAGATCTTAACCCATACAAGGAGGAAACTTATCCATGTAATAATTTGATAAGAGAAGAATTCAGCAACTTCTATGTTGAATCTTTATGAGGTTTTATTTCAAACAATGGCAGGTGGCAAAAAGAACACCTGTTGGTAATAAATGTAAACATACAGTAGCAAGCATACTAGTTTTTTCATGACATGATTAGAGAAAGAGCAAATCGCCTGTGTTCCCAAAATGCATGGAGTTAGGGCTTTCCTTAGTTTTTAATTTTTTTTGCGCTTTCCCCTGAACCTCCCTATATATATCAATTGAAAAATAAACATGTGTAGATGTATAAGTTTCCTAAAAACCAGTCAACCAGCGGAACATAATTAATTCAGATAACACGTTTCGGGTGCTTGGTAAAATAGAGTACCATGCTGAAAAGTGCTGCTTGGGGAGTGCTCATCAGTAAAACTTCAAGTCCCAACTCTGCAGTAGGACTATGCTCTCCATTACAACATACATCAATGGCTTGGGACAACTGGTATAGACCTTCAACAGAAAAGGTTAAATGCGGTTGGAATGCATCCCTCTTTTGTGATATCTTCAGTGTTGAAGCAAGTACTTCCAAAACTGAATCAACCAAGTGAATTTCTTTTACAAGCTCAAAGCTATCAGCAAAAAGCGCATACAAATGACATGAAAGTTGTGTCAGCTGCTCCACAGAATGTGCTTCCAACCACTGAATTGTGCTCCTGGAAGTGACAACATCATTTACTACCTAGACGGAACAGCAGGCAGCAAGTTAGCGGTAGAAAAGAATGTAAGAAATTATTTCTGCAACCACTAGAATCTGCAGCAACAAATAGAAGTTTTATTCCAAAGCAAATGAGTGAATGACATATTTGGGGGAGAAAATGATTCTGGACAGAGGTGAATATAGGATAACAGGAAAGGAATAATATAATTAGCCTAGATATGCAACCATTGCATAGTTCTCAGTCATCCCCAGTAGAGCTTCTAATCAGTATGCTCTCTGTTATATATATAGCAAAGCAATGTACATCCTTCAGTTGTAAGTATAAACTTTTGCAATTAAAGTAATTTAGTTTCACATTATGTGGCTGGTCCATTGATTTCTAAAGAGGAATTTAAACATGGTCCAGTTAGTTCAAAAATAATCTACTTCTCTTCTTTCCTTCTCAGTTTTGATCCTTTGTTTCTTTACCTAGATGCAACATTTCTTACTACTCCAAACCAAAACAAGCGCCCCCTTATACTTTTGAGAGGGAAACATACTTCATTTAATTTAATAACTAAGACCGATTTATTTAATTTTGAAAAAACTGATAACTAGATTATTCACTATACTTAACAAGTACTTCACTAGAAGATAATAGCAAAACAAATAAAATAATTCATACTAAGTTTAAATTTACTTGTGAGGTACCAAGTATAGCATTGAAAAGACAGGACATTTACTTTTGGAAGGAGGGAGCGCTAAACAGAAATCTTGACAGGCAACTTCACTATTCCAGTCAAAGACCTTCCAGCCTAGTGGTAAAGGCTTGGGCATGGCATAGTCATGAACCCGAGTTCGAGCCCTGGGAGGGAAGTGTTGGGGACATTTAAGTGGGGCCTTGTTTAGCCTCCAAATTTGCCGGGGATTAGTCGGGCTTTGGCCCGGACACCCTTACAAAAAAAACTTCACTATTCCATGGGATGCATGTTGAAGAACACAATTTTTCTAATTACCAAAAGTAATCTTGCAAACGACTGATGGAATCTGCATATTGTGTGTCTATATTTCTTTCTAGTGTACATTCAGATAAGGCGCTACGTCTCATTTCTCCAGTTTATCACAAAGAAAAAGAAACGGAACCAATGCTTGTCTTCTATTAACTTTAAAGAGTGTCTCTCCTGTCCGGCTCAGGGCCCTCACTTCCTCACTCAACTCACTCTGACGCTCGTCTCACATTCCTCCAGTTCAATGGATGGTCATATCCACCGGCAAGCAACCTCACACCATGTCCAATTAAAGCTCCTAATTCATATTTCATAAATAAGCATGACCCTTGTGAATAACATAACAGCTTATACCCAAGATCAGGTTCACTAGCAGGTGTACAGCAGTTAAGCAAGTCCATTCATCCACTTTTTCAGTTCATGAAACAATCTGTTTGCAAACTTAAAGGACACTTGAACTAGTGTAGGAAATTGGGAGGGAAAAGATTTTCTAAGAAGAACACACACAAACAAATCCTCTGCTGAAATTTAACACTACAAATTCTAAAATAAAGTTGTTACCTCCAGTATTACTGCAAGTTGGGCCAGTAAACCACCCCTCTTTTCTTGGTATGTACTTCCACAGAAATTTGAAATAAGAGATGACAACCATGAAATTACACCACAGTGCTCAATTAAATATCTAGACGTCTTATCAAATTTAACGACCTTCTTCACAATCTGCAGCACACAAATAATGTACCATAAGTGAGTGACGATGGTACCAGAACTAAAGCACAGTTTAGATTAAACACCAATAAACTTCACCTGTACATGAACCAAAAAATTTATACATAAGTCATGTAAATACACAGTAAATACACAGTAAACAAATGCACAGTAAACAAATGCATCCTGGCTTACTCTACTACAGAATACAAAGACAATTAGGTTTCATTCTTTAGCAATCATCTGGAGCATAGTCACAAGATGGTTTTAAGAAGTCATGTCATAGATTTAAAAGCTTAAGCAAGAACAAGACAGCTTAATAATTACATCAAAGAATCAAGACTTCTCTGACCACAGGCACCACGACTAGATTGAGAGCATGCAGAGGTGAACTAGCACAAATTTAACTAGTTGCAAATTTAATGGTACACTAGCAGGCTAGATTGGAGTTGCATCTTACAACTGCAATTAAGAAAGATAAAGTCATGATAAATGGGTTAGGAAGGGGCTAGATACCCAGAAAAAAAGACGAATTCATAACCTTGGTAGATGAGAGACTTAATATCAAGTGAAGAAACAAAGCTGAAAGGTCATAAGTTGCTGAACTTGTAATCATCAGAATGATGTCTAAAGGCCAGCTGCAACATGTAATTTGCTGCAGGCTTATGAGTTCCAAGGTATTGAATATAAAAGGGAGAGGAACAGAGATAGACACACAGAAAATGTCAAAATATGGATTTCACAGAAATACAACTGTCTTGCCCTAATCCTACGATCCTCATCATGTTTGGGTACAATAGTTCCCAACCTTTTCCCTTTTTGCATACAAAACAATCCTATACCGTATGGGGAATTTAAGTAACATTATCTACTAGTGAATAAGAATTTGACAGATTTCACAGGGTGGTTAGAAGCCAAGCTGATGCACCTTGACATCTGCAGGGGGAAGTTTCAATGACCAGAGTAGAGGAGAGAAAAGATGATTAAGTCCACAGCAACATTAACGTTGAAGCTCTAGATGCAGTTGAAATTTAAAAAGCTTTCAGATGATTATTAATGTAGCAAGACGGGATCATATACAGATTGTCTTCCAAAAGGCTACTATATCTTACTATTCTTGCAATTAAACTGGACAAAAGTTGCTAAGATAGCATAAGTTGTAAGAAAGACCAAGGATTCACACAGTACTAAGTTGGTCCACCCAGTAAGATGATTGAAGAAATTCACAGCGAAAACTTAAGATCCACTGATGAGACAAGTGGTTGGAGATTCCTGCATGGATTACTAAGACATGACAACTTTTTCTTAATACAAGGTTAGAAGTTGGGAAACAAGTTCTCTTAGAACTTGTCAGTAGTAGTCATAATGCCATGGTTCAATTGCTTAATTATACAACAATGCTCCAATTAACCTCATGCAAACTTTATTTGCGAAGATTTTGCACCTGTTATAGAACCAAGTATATGCTGCTTTTATTAGTAAAAATAGTTCATATATTGGAATTGATTTGTAAGTAAACAAGTGCAGAACTGTGATCTGTTTATCGTCGAGTCTACTCAGCAGAACAAGCTTGACACTTGTATCGAATAATTACCTGAAGGATTAATTCCCTTGATTCATTGTCTGAAAGAGAAGAACTGTAAAAACTTAGCAGTTTCTCTAAAACTGAGCTCCGGACATAAATCTGAGCATCATCGTCTAGATTTTGGCCAGAATAAAGTAGGCGAAGCATCCATATCCTACCCGATTTAAAATCAACAGAATTACTCCAGAAGAACTCATCAAAAAATGATATCATCTGCAAGATTGTTAAGAAGACAAATATCATTAGTAACAGAAAATTAATCGTATACAAAGCAACGACAGTATACATCAAAATAGTTCGTAGCACATGACTATACTCACAGAAGTCAACAAAGCAATAAGGAACACTTCATACCTTCGTATTCATAGGTGAATGCATAAGAAGTTTACTTATAATTTTGTAATGATTATTTGAAGGATCCAATAACAATACGGACGCCTCAGCAGCAAATACAGCATGTATAGAAGGAATCCTCTGCCATGCCTCTCCTATACCGTTTTGCACATACGTCAGCAACAGAAGAAGTCGGTTTACATCCTTTCTCTTTTGACTTATCTGACAAGATAAGCACCATAAGCACATCAATAAAAACACATAAAAGACCAAAGGCTATCACAAGAAGAAAAAGGACAGCAAAAAAGTTAAACCATGAATCAGCTTGCACATTTATCCCAAGGAGATATACAGATGCAGTCAAGAAGAAGAAACTTGTAATGTTGTGGCTGCACCTGGTTATTTCAAATTGCAGAGGCTTGCATAAGACCTCTTTCAAACACTTTTTGCATCAAGAAACCACGTCATAAAAAAATTCACATGTTTGAAGACTTTTATAAACCAGTGCATCATGAAAGCAGATAAGTATAACAGTAAACTATGCAAGTTAATGAAAAACAGCTTGACTAAAATTTATATTGAAAGGTGTTTAATACTCCTATTAAACAAAAACAGTTATAAAATACATCTACCACTCTCAAGGAATACATGCTCTCTGTAAAACCCCACGTCTCTCTAAAACTCCATAATGTCCTCTTTATTTGAGATCGCACTCTACCTAAGATGCCATGTATGTTCATCTATCTATAAACTCTTTAAAGTTGCATGTTTTTTCTTGAAAGAGCACTCTAGTCTGTAGATCTATGAATAAACATTTCTTTCAGGAAGAAAACATCTCTTTTTAATCTCAATATACATTCTTCTCTCTACAAATTCTCTAAGTTCTCTCTCCAAAGACAGCATATCTTTCAAGAACTCCTCCACCCAAGCTCAACCTTAATCTCTGCTTTTCTGAACCGGGTACAGTACGATATATAGGGAACTGCCAAATTGTTAGAACTGGATTGAACAGATATTGCAAATGCTCAAACATGAATAAGCACACTAACCTCTAATGCATTCCTGAATACTGCCAGAACCTTGTAGCCCAATTTTCGGATCTCATCATCAGGTGAGGATAAACTAACAAACGCAACAGCAAGCAGACCTAAGCTCGCATATTCAACTGGTTCGATGTAATCCATCGACAAACCATGCAATGACATCCGCAAGATGAAAACTGGATCATAAATGTGTATTGTCTCAATATTCGCAGTTCGTGCCTGAATTTCAGCAAGAAACTTATTAAGAGCCATCAATGGACGCAACAAGCTTCAGGAACAAAGAAAAAGAAGAACATAGTACCTCATCCAAAGGTTCTGCATTATTAACTGGAAGCTTGTTAGGAAATAGATCTCCTGGTCTCATTTTTCTGTCATAGGGAAAATGAAGTACCGTAGCTGCACATATTCTGGGGTCAATTGGAAGGTTTTCTCTGAATTGACTTTTCCGGCGTTTTTGTTGAGCTTCGGTGTCATCCATGTCATCAGAAAAAAAGGCCTGCTCTGTCTCCCGTACTTTCCTCACCCTTGTAGCAGCAGTTCCCCACAGATAATCCATATCAGCAATATAACTCGAGCCTGACTCATCATTACTTTCAAGTTCATGCATGAGTTTATAAATCTCCAAGTCTTTTTCACTGAGAGTAGCACCATAAGAAGAGAGAAGCAAGAACAGCAATTCTTTAGAATTTATCCCAATATCTTGTTCAAAACCAAGGGTACCCAGCTGAGCCCTAATATGGCATAGCACCCTAAGCAATTTGACAATTTCCAATTGCTTCATGTACAGCTCAGATGACTGTGACCTGTCTACTTTAAGGACATTATGATCCGTACTGTTGAAAGTAAGTGATCTCAGAATACTGGACATGGGTCTGAAAATGATACCAAACTGTAGAGAACTAGAAGATTTAGTGGCAGATTGAATGGTGGGTGCAAACTGAGAGTGAGCCAACAGCAGCTGAAGAATTTGTATATGCAAAGATTTATCATCAGCTTGGCCGGTGAAAATAACTCGAAGCATGCTGAGTGTTGCAGGATCCTCAAACCTGTGAAGAAGACAAGATCTTGCAATCTGTTCTAGGTTAACCAGAGAATTTGACATTCTATCAGAATTCTTATGCATCTCTGCAGTAACTTCAATAAAATTCCTGAATATAAAGACTTCCAAAAGCCTGAACAACGCACATTTTGTGCCTTCAACTTCTGAACGATCATTTGACTTTGAAGGGAATATTTTGACGATTAATCGCCAAGTCGACACCAACGTATTTATGAACAATACACTTCTTAAGTATTCTTTGCTAGACATTGCCTCCAAAGAAGTAAGTTCTATCTCTCCATCTGCTTCCTCTCCTTTGGCAAGAACTTGAATATTTTCCTTGGGAAATAACACCATCTTACAAAGAAGTACCTTCGCGACTGACTTCAGAATAAGATTCAAAGATTGATCGATGGAATAACGATCAATTTCAACAGCATCACAGTCCAGAAGTTTATCACTACCAGATGGAAGAACAGAATCAAATAACTTCAATCGCTTGCTCCGTTTGACAGTGGCCCCGCTTGATACAAGATGATGCCGCATGACAGCAACTGCTCTTCCAAGAAGACTGTTATTGAGAAGATTACAAAGCTCTTCCACAGTTGAAGGCACAGATTTGTTTAGTTTTACTTGAAATAGATCCCTAGAAACAAAGGTCTTCCAATTAGAGAACCCATCAAGCAATATTTCCCAATACAAAGAATGTACGCTTGTAAGATGCTTGTAACACTTTTCCCCATATCTCATGGAGATAAAATCTAAGAAAGATAGAGCAACTGGCAGTAGCATCACCATATCTTCATCACATACACCACTCTTCCTTTTTTTCTTAACTAGAGATTTGTTCACCATCTCCATAAAAGGAAGTGCAAAGAAAGACAGATGAAGGAGGCTCGATTCAGTTAAATGAAACAATAGTTGAGCCTTAATCATGCTAATGCTTTGAAAGCATTTTGAAAGCAAATTCATGGGTGTGCTTGCTACTATCCTTGACACAACCATGCATTGTCGGATAGATAGAAGAGTTGGACCACTACATGTATTTGCAATCTTAACAGCTTTCAGCAAGCAAAGATCTGCAACTACTAGTTCGGAAGAGGAAGCAATCTGAACTACATGAAAATACACTCTCTCGAATAGAGCAACATCAAACTTTTGTATGCCACCAAAACAAAATGGTACTTCCTTGGCATATGGTTGCTGCATATAACACAACAGCAAGTCAAAAGCACAACCAGCAAGGTTTAATCCAACAGAGAGCGCTGAAATTTTAGGAGATTCCAGAACAGAAGAATCATTAAGGCCAATTCTCAAGAACATCCAACAAACCAATTCAAGCAGCTCCTGAGGGGATATGAATCGAATCAAATTGTGTAAAGCAAATAATGTTGGGATCAGGGGCAGTGGATCTTCAGATTCTATGAACTGATCAAAGCGGTCCTTTAGCAGCTGAACCAACTTCTGGAGGAGGCACTTGAAAACCCTTGCAATCTGCTTATTTGCATACCCAAAATCCCCAGGAAATTTTACATCATTGCTAAAGGAGGACATTTGGTTACAACATATTGCTAGTACTTCCAAGACATGATGATCCATTCTATGAATTCCTTCTCTTGCTAAACAAAGAAAATTATCTGCCAAGTGCTCAACAATATTGCCTTTAAGTTCCTTGTTAACAGATAATGGACTTTCTAAAGCACCTATAACTGCAGGATGGCAGAAAACAGTTTCAGCAATTTCTTGGGCATAATGATTGAACCCAGGAGCCGATAATATTTTTGAACAATCAGAACCATTATTCCCGGCTGACAGGTGCAGCAACATTCTCTTTATGAGAGTAAAACAGATTTCAGAGATCTGCACAAGCTCTTTCGCTGGTCCATTACGGTAGGAAGATTGTACACGATGAAACCAGAAGAACACAAGGCGAAAAGAAGAAACAAAGTTATCAGACATCTCTCTAGACAGCTTAGCCAAAAGCATGTCCTGAAATTTGGATGAATCGGATAAATATGAGCATTCAATGCCTATAATAGCTGGAAATAGCACATAAAATGGAGCCTGCTTCAGGAAATAAGAGAACGCTTCAGAAGAGTTACTTGAATCAATGCTACAAGAATCCCCTTTCTTTTGATCAAGAACTGCAGTGACAACTTTTTCTAAGCCCGCAAACGACAACTCAGGCCATGACTTGAAAATATCGTTAAGGAAACCCCTTTCAGAAAAACAGATAGACAATAGAATAGAAAAAGGTACTCCCCTTAGGTTTTGTGAAATAGATATAACTGCCGGAAAATGCTGCAATATTAGACCAGGTGCAGCACAAAGCATTGACGATGAAAACGCGGTGGTTATCCTAGCATTATGCTCACTCTCCGCTAGACTTGTAACTTCAGCAAGAAGATTGACAAAAGAATCATCAAGAACACCCCTTTTTCCATCAACTGAAGAAAGCATGCAACTTTCTTGATTTGAAATGCTCCTTGAAAAGTGCAACAAACTTTTTAATGGCCTCCACTCGCAGAAATCAACATCAACAGCTTCAAGTCTTTCAGATAATGAATGGCATATCAGAGAAGATAGCAATCCAGCCTCTACCTAAGGACATCAGATCTCTCTAATGTTATGCATGTAACTGAGCATATGATCTGATATCCATGCGTATTCTCAAATATGCCTAATTAGTAAAAAAATAAGAGCAGGGTGTAAACCTACATACCTGAGTTTGCAAGAGGTATCTCAAGGTGTTGCTAACATACATAGATATCATAGACTTCTCAGGCAAATTAAAGGTCTCTGACTTGGAACCAAGCAACCTCAGGCACTTCTCCAGGACACAAACAAAGAGAGGACTGAACCGAGGATAAACATCTGATAGAAAAGAAAGATAATAGAATAATTACCAGGATTTATAAAAGCTATTTGAAAATAAAACAAAAGCCAGAACACCTTATTAAGAAAAGAAAGATTCTTTCCACTTGGCCACAAATTCTTACAATGGAACACTTGGAACACTAGATTGCAAAAGATATTTGAACCAGGAACCATTATCATGTAGTAGTATCTTATTAGCATATATGCATATGGTAAGAGGTGCCATACGTAAAACCTGCTTTTGTTTTTTAATTTTATATCTCATCCCATAGGCCAATCCTTTTTACTCTGTTTATTTTCCTATATCCTCAATATTAATAATATGCTTTCCAGTCCCTTCCCTATACCACGTACCAGAGCCACGTATCTGAGAACCCAAGGCTATTCTACTGTTTTTAATCTTCAAACAGTCCAAAAAAGGGTATTCATCACCCTCACAAGTGCCGCGCCACCACCAGTCCCACGGTCATCATGGGGGAGGTAGAGAGGTGGTGCCCTGGCTCGAACGCAAAAATCACACATATGTATTACACATTTACACCCACACCTCTACTGCCTGGGATAGATCAGTGGGGACATCTTCAAACAGCCTATTTGCAGTTAAGATCTGATCATGCATGCAAAATCTCCCTGGGCATCGCCAACTCAGTGACTGATTCCTGTTTTCTGCATTGAATAGCCACTTGTGACTGCCCTAGACCAGTGACTCAGCCCTTGGGCATTAAATCATTCTACTGTCATGGATTTCTAAAATTGTCAATCTTCTCTCCACTATGATCCCGATCTTAGCATAATCCTGACCAGTAAAACTTTGTTTAGTGTATTTCTCAACTATTTTAATGATAAGCCTGCAGTGATTCAACAGAGTTGGTTGACTTCCTTGCTATTTTGACCGGTCTAAATTGTTTTTGGACTTTGCTTTGCCCTCGCTTTAAAATTCGTGGAGAGTACTGGCTGGGTTTCTCCCTGTTCTTGATAGACCAAGTGTACAATAATTCTCTAATTTTCATATTCAACACCACTGGAGAAGACAGTAAGTCAATAAAACGAACTAAAAGTGTTCAATATTTCTGAATCATGTGCACAGGTTTAATATAGTAAAAAGGCAACTGGATAGAATGGCAGTAATTAGATCCAGTGGTCAACCTTTGAATATCATCACCTACAAAAGAAAACCAACGTATCTCCTGATACCGCTGACCAGGCTATTCTAAGTATAAATGCAAAGCAAAAGCAAATAGTAACAAGCAGATTCATGAATGCAACAAAAATAAGTCAAACCTTTAACACTTTCCAGATGAATGATTTGAAGCCTGAGAAGATCCCAATATTTGAATAAATTGTTTCCAACCGTAGAAACAGCATCACAGAAAAAAGAAATGACAACAGAAGACAAGTTCTGGACGGTTTCGATTTCCCTCTCTTCAATGGATTTGGTGCTAAACCCAGGAAGAAATAAAAACCATCCATCAATTTCCCTTGCATTGTTGTCAAATGCACCGCTACTTAACATGGCTGCCCGTGCCAGCACATAAGCTTGATCTTTTATGTCTTTGACGGGTGAATTTACAACAAAATTAATGAAATGCATTAGATGTTTGTACATCAGTGGCGGGTATCTGATGGGAATATCTTGTTTAGAAGAACCACCGATATGTTCAACTAACAGTGACAATAAAGATTGCTGCAGAACAGTTGGTAATGATAAAGCATTGTTGGGTAGAACTTTAAAGAAATCAAATGACCCCTCTACAACCGATGGCATGGTGCGCTGCAAGTTAAGAGTATCCACTGTCAGAAACCGATACGAGAAAGAAAGTTTAAGAAGCGGTTGTGAACAAAGCAACTACTACTTCCCCACTGAACCCCCACAACAAGTTCAGCATTAAAGAAATAAAGCATGCTAATAAAACAGGCAGCAGCAGCAGCAAACCAAACCCATAAAGCAGAAGTAATACCTTGCAGGTTGTGGTTTCAAATCCTCCTTATTCGAAAAAGAAATGATCTTCCCCATAATGTAGTTGAGCAACTTATCAAAGTAATCGTCTATTTTAATTCTCATTCTCTACTACCCAATTAGTTCATCTTCAGTTCTTTAGCTCGTAAAAAATACTCCACCATCTTTAACCTTCAAACTCCTGCCTTTGTTTCTGGCACTTCATTCATGTCCTAATATGTGTTATCTCTAATTCTTTGGCAGCTTTCGTTGATTCTCTTTTTGTTTATGTATACTTCTCAATGGTCTCTTGACAGTTGCACAGCAAAAAGCTTATAGAATAAAATGTATGTCTTTCTTATTTATTGACAAATAAAATAATGAATCAGAAAGCCAAAACGACACTTTTGAGGTATTATAAAAACTGGTCAGTGGAGGTTTTTCATGCCATGTTTTTCCTCATTATTTACTTTAGTTTATTCAGCCCACTTCATTCTGCACAAAGAGATTAATTGTGGTTGATAGAGATGAATGACAACAACATATGTACATTTTGTATTGCATTAAAGATTGTATGCTAAGTTTCGAGTTTATAGAAATGCAACAAGGACTTGCTCACTTGTCAGCAGGAGGACACTAATAGGATAACACAAAACAATACAAAAGTATACACTCAGCCACGTAAGCGATCCCAAAAAAAGAGAGTTAGATGTCATTTCTTTTATCTTCAGGTTATAGTTGATAGTGTTGCTCTAAGCACATGATGAAAAGGTTGTCACTTTTATTTTAAATATATTAGTGGAGAATACTAAACGCACCAGAGTTATTGAAAATTAACAAATGCTATAGATTTTAACCAACTTGATCATTCTCATCCCCTAACTAGAGGGGATCACCAAAGTCTTGTCACTTACTATATCCAGTTCCTTCCAGTCCTCTTACAGGTATGAATAACGAGTCACAAGTTCAACTATGTATGGCAACTATTTTTACATAACTCCTCAGAAAGAAAAGCCCTACCACAAGGATTTTGTCACCCAATATGCAGTAAATTATAGATTAATGTATCAACATCCCATAACATATTTGATATTTTAATTCCTTCCTATCCCTTACATGTAATGAGAGTCACAGGTTAAACCATGTATAGCAATTATTTACAGAACTTCTCACAACTGCTGATCTTAATTCCTACCACAAGGACTTTGTTGCCCGAGGTCAGTAAATTCTACATTAATGCATCAACATCCTACAGAAGTTATTCCTTACTTTAATATGCATTTGCCTGATATTCAGTAAATTCTATATTAATACATCAATATCCTAGAGAAGTTATTCGTTACTTTAACTACGTCACTAACATGAACATTATTCTGAAAATTCAAACTTACATGATATATTTTGAGGGCATCAAGCAACTTAGAATAGAAATACGATTCCTCATCCTCTGCAACAATGTTCGGATCGTTGATTTCATGGGATTCCCAGAGTTCCTTGATTAACATAGCATCACCCTTCAGATTGTCAGACTCTTCCACATTGTGCTCTTCCTGAATTCTTCCATCGTCACCTGGTGTTGCAGTGTCTAGAGAAGAACCAATACCACCGATAACAATATCTGTTTCCTCATTTGAAGTACAAGTCTTAAACTTCTTATTACTAGAACTATGTTCATGTAGAACAGTTGTTTCTGCAACTCTCTTCAAGGTTTGTTCCTCACTCTTGTAGCGGCTACTGAGAGAAGAAATCAATGACAATAAAACTTGAAGATCAGGGAGCAACAATTGCACTTCATTCTGAATATCTTGCATAAGAGACGCCCACTTGCACCCAATTTGCTTGCTAGATTTGGATCTACGGCTTAGAGCAGAAAAGAGAGAATCCAATAACTTCAGTGACTCCAAAACAAGCCGTAACGTTCCATGCTGAATCTGAGACTCGGAATGAAGTAATCCTTTATTCATTACTATTCGGTTAAATGGACGTGGACCAATGCACTTTATTATACTTTGCACTTCAGAGCTGTTAAAAGATGGTGGCTCCTGGGGCTGAGAATCAAGAAAATCAAAAAACAAACCTGCATTCACTGAAGAGATCAAGTTTGCAGCCAATGAAACAGCAGCAAACCTGCGAGTACTTCAGTAACTTGATAAATCAAAGCAAATACAAAAGAACACATATAAAGGCAAACTCATATATAGATTCATACATATATACATATATAGAGAAAGGTAATATCATACAAATACACGTATATATGTGGAGAGGTAATATCATAAAAATACACAGAGTGAGTGAGAGAGAGAGAGAGTAAAATAACGAATGTAACCAGGTTGCGTTGTCTTCAAGATTGTAAGGGAACTCATCCAGATATGCAGAACCAAATGACGGCCTTCCACGTACAATGCCTAATAGCAGATCCCTGTGAAATTCAATCTCAGTAGCTTTGAGCTTCTTCATAACACCCAAGAGTCGAGTTGGATTTCCCTTCAATGGAAAGGGTGATGCCTTTGTATCTGGCATCAACCCATTAGAAGGATCAGTGCAGACCATAAACAGGACCTTTGTCGCCACCTCAGTAGCAACTCCACCACCACCCCTTCCAGATATGTTAACCAATTGTTCCAAAGTAACACTCCCGAATAAAACACTCCTGAGCCCCACAGGCACCAAAGACTCAGGTACAAGAACCTTATCCATCAATGTAGATAGAACGTAAACAACAGTTTCTTCTTCATCGCTCCCAAGCCCACGAAGAAGCCCAGAAAACATTTCCTTCTGCTGCAATACCCACCTCAACAACCTAGGCTCCCCAATTTCTAAAAAGGACATAGCAAACCGAACATATGACCTCCTTGTAGAGCTCTTCCTTTTTAACTTTTCCTCGTTCTTCCTCCTCCTATCATACTCGGCTAGCTTCAAAAAGCTTGGCAGCTTAAAATTAAAACTCTTGGCAACATCCGAAGCCAATCCAGAACCTCGTTTCACAACAGAAGCCATCAACAACAATGCAGCATTTTTCCCTTTGCCCTCTTTACTATTCAACTCCTTATAAACATCTCCTAATTTTTCTTCAAGAATCAAACGGGCAAATTTATCTAAGGCCCTGCTAACTGAAAGCCTAGCCACATCATTGGGTTTATAAAGACCGTCTTTTTGACTCAAAATTACATTGATTAACGACATTATATAAGACAAACCAGTCTTTGATTGTCGTAAATTCCATGCTTGTAGAAGCTCTGAACAGCTGGACGATGTTTGTACATACTCCCGTAACATTTCGCCTCCTTCATCGCCTCTTAGTAGCTTCATAAACTCTTTTGACGCTTCTGAGCATAATTGGAGATCAACTGAGGTGATGTTACGTAATAACTCTCTTAATTTAGCTTCATGAGACACTTTGATTATAAAATTAGTACTTTGTATACTCTCAGGATTCATAGCTTCACCATTTTCCATAGCTGCAGGTAGAAACAAAAACGCCAAACAGAATATAAGTTCAAGTGACATAAAAATTAGCAAAAACGGTATATGAACACACGCATATACTGATTATGAACATCCAAGTTACCTTTAACAGATTTCCGATTGGCGACGGCGGGGCGTCGAAGAAAACTAGTGGCTTGAGGTGGAGAGTGGTGGCGGCGACTGGCGAAAAAAAGAATTCGGGGGTTTATGAAGGGTATAGCGGGAAATAGACAAGACTTGAAGGCCTCCTCGCTTATGCTTTATGAAGTTGTACCGTACAACTTTCTTTTTCAATATATAAATATGCTAATGGGTTGGGTCATTGTTAGTTTGCTATGGGCTTATGTTGTTAGTTGCAAAGCCCACCTCAATATTTTCCTTATACGTTAAACTTAAACGAGAATGAATAAAAAGATATGTAAAACTGATAATTAAAAAGGTTAAATGCATGTAATAGTAATTTACTTTCATAAATTTTTTATTATAATATTTTATTTTTGTTTTTATTTATTACAGCAATGTACTTTCAAATTATTTTTATTAAGGCATCGCACTTTAAAAAATTTACTCATTATAGCAATGGATAACCTGTTACCTTTTAAATCGGTTAACCCCTTGATTTTTTTTGTTTGTGTCACTTTATTGAGGTGATGTAGATGACACATCATTTTGATGACTTAATTAAAATAAAAATAAAAACATATTTCAAATTATTATTAGTGATTTTCATTTTTCATTGCTATGATTTAAAATATATATAATTTTTTTTACTATTTCTTATTAAGTTGCATACAAATTAAATATTTTATAGTAAAATATTTCTTAAATAAATATGCTACGTTATTTTCGAGATATATTTTGTTTGTAAAAAATGTAACACTTCTTATTTTATGTTGTTCAAAAAAATACATATCTTTTAAAGTTCTTTCTGAAATGTTAACAAAATAAATTATGTTGTTAATATTGTTATATTAATAAATAATTCAAAAAAATAATAATTAATTTAATATATTTATACGCCAAATAAAAGTTTTTGAACAAATATAATATATTTTTTAAAAGATAATATTTTTTTGGTAAAAAATAAACAATTCTAATTTTCTTTTTTAAAAAAAAACACATATTTTTTTGAAAATATTAGCTAGATAAGTTGTCTTCTACTAGTTTTATTAATATTAGTATATTAATGAATAATTTAGAATTTTTTTAATTCATTTAATATATTTATTAAATAACATGTAAAGTTTCTAAATATTAAAATTAAAAGTATATTGTTTAATAAGAACTAGTAGATGTTATAATAAAATAATTTTGAAAATACAATGTTGTAATAAGAAAGTCGCATCATTATAGTACATGTGAACATCCTACGTGGACAATGAGGTGGCATGGAAACCTGGTATAATGAGTAAATTTAAATTAAAAAGTTACCCAATAAATTTACCCAATGCTATAATGGGTAAATTTTTCAAAGTACAATGTTCTAATAAAAAAATAGTTTGAAAGTACAGTGTTGTAATAGGGACGCGTGTTGCTCTTAGCACATCGTATCACCCACAGACCGATGGACAGACAGAGAGAACGATTCA